CCCCCCCCATATTGAGTCAGGGGTCCCCCCCTTGACCCTCCCGGTGTCCCCCCCAAGGCTACGGCTCGGTGACGCCGCTCTCCGCCGCCGGCAAAGCCTTCTGCGCCGCCTACGCCGCCATGGGGGTCCCGGCCACCATGTTCCTCCTGGCGGCCACCGCGCGTCACCTGGCCGTGCCGCTGGCCCGGCGACCCCGTGGCTACCTACAGGCGCGGTGGGGCTACAGCCGGCGCGGCGCCGCCCGCGCCCACCTCCTGGGCCTCCTGGCCGTCACCCTGGTGCTCCTGGTGCTCCTGCCGGCCACCGCCTTCTACCTGCTGGAGGCCACCTGGAGCTACCTGGACGCCGTCTATTTCTGCGTCATCTCGCTCTGCACCGTTGGTTTTGGTGACCTGGTGCCGGCCCGGCAGGCGCGGCAGCCGTTGAGGCAGCTCTACCAAGTGGCGGTGGCCGGTGAGTTGGGGGGGGCGTTGGGTGGGTCTTGAGTTGGAAGGGTTGAGGGGTTGGGTTCGTGGGGTTTTGGTGGGGGTTGGGAACGTTGGGTTGGGTTGTGGATGGGTTGGGTTGAGTTTTGTTGGGTTTTGGATGGGTTGGGATGGGTTTTTGGGTTTTGGATGGCTTTTGGTTGGGTTTTGTTGGGTTTTGGATGGGTTGGGATGGGTTTTGGGGTTTTGGATGGGTTTTGGTTGGGTTTTGTTGGGTTTTGGATGGGTTGGGTTGGGTTTTTGGGTTTTGGATGGCTTTTGGTTGGGTTTTGTTGGGTTTTGGATGGGTTGGGTTGGGTTTTTGGGTTTTGGATGGCTTTTGGTTGGGTTTTGTTGGGTTTTGGATGGGTTGGGTTGGGTTTTTGGGTTTTGGATGGCTTTTGGTTGGGTTTTGTTGGGTTTTGGATGGGTTGGGTTGGGTTTTTGGGTTTTGGATGGCTTTTGGTTGGGTTTTGTTGGGTTTTGGATGGGTTGGGTTGGGTTTTTGGGTTTTGGATGGCTTTTGGTTGGGTTTTGTTGGGTTTTGGATGGGTTGGGTTGGGTTTTTGGGTTTTGGATGGCTTTTGGTTGGGTTTTGTTGGGTTTTGGGTTTTTGGGGTTTGGGTGGGTTTTGGTTGAGTTTAGTTAGATTTTGGATGGGTTGGGTTTTTGAAATTTTGTTGGGTTCTGAAAGGGTTGAGTTGGGTTTTTGGGGTTCTGGTTGGGTTGAGTTGGGTTTATTGGGTCTTGTTGGGTTTGGGTTGGGTTGGGTTGAGTTCCAATGGGTTGAGGTGGGTTTTTGATGGTTCCTTGGGTTCCAGTGGGTTCCGTTGGGTTCTGTCACGTTCCACTGGGTTCTGTCAGATTCTCTTGGATCCCGTTGGGTTTCATTTGGCTCCATTGGCTTCCAATGGGTTGAGTTGGGTTTTTGATGGCTCATTGGGTTCTGTTGGGTCCTGTCGTGTCCCGTTGGGTTCCGTCGGGTCCCATTGCATTCCGTCATGTCCCACTGCATGCCGTCGGGTTCCATTGCGTTCCGTCGTGTCCTGTTGGGTTCTGTTGGGCTCCATCATGTCCTGTTTGGTTCCTTTGGGTTCTGTTGGGTTCTGTTGGGCTCCATCGGGTCCCGTTTGGTTCCTTTGGGTTCTGTTGGGTTCCGTTGTGGCCTATTGGGTTCCTTTGTGTTCTGTTGGTTCCCATTGGCTCCCGTTGGGTTCCATTGGGTTTCGTTGGGTTCTGTTGTGTCCCATTGGGTTCCATTGGGTCCTGTTGGATTCCGTTGGGTTCCATTGGGTTCCCGTTGGGTTCCATTGGGTTCCGTTGCGTTCTGTTGGTTCCCATTGGGTTCTGTTGGTTCCCATTGGGTTCCATTGGGCCCTGTTGGATTCCGTTGGTTTCCATTGGGTTCCCGTTGGGTTCCATTGGGTTCCGTTGCGTTCTGTTGGTTCCCATTGGGTCCTGCTGGGTTCCTTTGGACTCCGTCATGTCCTGTTGGGTTCTGTTGGGCTCCATCGTGTCCTGTTGGGTTTCTTTGGGTCCAATTGGATTCTGTTGGGTTCCATTGGGTCCCGTTAGATTTTGTTGAATTCCTTTAGGTTCCATTGCGTCCCATTGGGTTCTGTTGGGTTCCTTTTGGTTCCATTGGGTCCTCTTGGGTTCCTTTGGGCTCCGTTGGGTCCCATTGGGTCCCATTGGGTTCTCTTGGGTACCATTAGGTTCCGTTGGGTTCCATTGGGTTCCTTTGGGTTCTGTTGGGTCCCATTAGGTTCCGTTGGGTTCCTTTGGGTTCTCTTGGGTCCCATTAGGTTCCGTTGGGTTCCTTTGGGTTCTCTTGGGTCCCATTGGGTTCCGTTTGGTTCCATTGGCTCCCATTGGGTTCCTTTGGGTTCCGTTGGGTTCCGTTGGCCTTCTTTCGATTTCGTTGGGTTCCTTTGGGCTCCGTTGGGTCCCATTGGGTTCCTTTGGGTTCTCTTGGGTCCCATTGGGTTCCGTTGGGTTCTGTTGGGTCCCATTGGCTCCCGTTGGGTTCCTTTGGGTTCCATTGGGTTCCGTTGGGATTCTTTCGATTCCATTGGGTCCCATTGGGTTCCGTTTGGTTCCATTGGCTCCCATTGGGTTCCTTTGGGTTCCGTTGGGTTCTCTTGGTTCCCGTTGAGTTCCGTTGGGTCCCATCGTGCCCCGTCACGTCCCCACCACCGCGCCGCGCCGCTCACGCCCGTGCCCCACAGCGTACCTGCTGCTGGGGGTCACGGGCGTCCTGCTGCTGGCCCAGACCTTGCGCCACGTGGCCGAGCTCCACGGCGTCCCCGGCGCCGCGCCGGCACCGGACGGCGACGCCGACGGCGAGGAAGGGGCCGGCTTGTTGGAGGGGACGAGGGACGGGGCCAAAGAAGCCCGGGGGGGGCGCGACAGCGGGTAGCAACGGTGGGGGGGCACTGGGGATACTGGGGGACACTGGGAGGGGACACGCCACAAAAAAGGGTCCCCAAAGGGGGT